CTTGGTGGAGAATTGCCCCAGGCTCCATGCTTGTCCATCAGTATATTGATGATTTTCTGTATCAGTTGAGTTGCTGTCACATGATCACGATATTTGGCTGCCCTTATCAAATGATCACACATCTTTTCATCTTCACGTTTTTCTGCAGAATACTGGGCACACAATGACTAAAATGTGATGGGACAAAAAAAAAAGAAAAAAACAAATACTTTAAATGCATTGTATTTTTAGAATTTTTCTTTTGTCAAGAATGAAACTGCTTATATACTTTTGACTTAAAATTTCTGCAATGAATAAAAAGTGAACACATGAGAAAACAATTTAATAATACACCAGAAACTGCAAACAACAGCTGAGCAGAACATTATCATCCTCATAAAACATGGTCCACTGGGGGAAACATGCAATTTGCCCTTTAAGGGTATATCCAATTAAAACTATAAAATGTGATTTTTTTTCACGTAAATAGAATCTGTTTTATTAAAATAATCATTGGATCCCACCTGTTTGTCTAACTTATTTGTGGTAGTGCAATACAGTGCTTTAAACTTTTTATATATATATATATATATATATATATATATATATATATATATATATATATATATATATATATAATATATATATAAAAAACGTCCATACAGCATGAACAAGAGAGATGATACCTCCCGCCTACCAGCCATTTGGAAACCCGCCCTTATTGACAAACGACTCCCTAACACAAAAAATGATACCAGACCCACACCCACAAAAACCACACAGGATGTCATCACCACACATCCACGCAAAAAGCAAACCCAAAGCCACACCGATGATGAGGCACGACCACAAACCAGAAGCCAGACCACAGCTGCATCATTAGCCACTTTAAACCCCTCCAATCCATACATGAAGCAAACTGACACCCTCCATGAAGATGAGGCACGACCACGAACGCGAAGCCAAAAAATAGCAAGGCAGCCCAAAATCTTAAACCCCCCTGCAACTCAGACTAACCTGAGCACAACCAAACAGAACACTCCCCCAGCCAATCAGAGCACAGCCAACCCCCCAGCCAATCAGAGCACAGCCAACCCCCAGCCAATCAGAGCACAGCCACGCCCCTAACCAATCAGAACACACCTCCACCCAATCAGAACATAGCCAAGCTCCCACCCAATCAGTTCATATCCCCGCTGGCAGTTAAAAGGAAGAAACAGCTAAGATCACACATTGCTGCTTGAAGCACGAAGCTGAAAACACCAGCCTGAAGATGACGAATGGGACTTCGTCGAAACGTCGCCAAGACACTTCCAATTTTACGCAGGAGAAAACCCGAACAACCAAAGACCTACATGCAAACACCCGCGAAAACCTCAGAAAACACACACACACACACACACACACACACACACACACACACACACATATATATATATATATATATATATATATATAATGATGGTGAAAATGCGACTCCCGGGCATAATTATAAATGGAATGAATAAAGCGCGTTCACCAGGAGAGTTTAAAGTTAAAATACTTCAATTAAAGTATTTTACTATATTAAAAGGTTGCCAAGCTTTCGTTGGGAAAACTCCCCAACATCTTCAGGGCTGAGAGACCGTTTCTAACAAGGTGATTCAAACGGGTTCCATAGACGTCTGCACGTGGTTCCTAGACTGTGCTAGCATTCCCTGCTGAACAGCTGATAGGTGGGAGGGGGAATCGGAGTAAAGATTTCTTCTGTCGTTCTCTCGAGCACTTTTGTTCACATTTCCGTCGACCTCAGGGGGTATTGTTAAAGTTATGTTCCGCCCTCTCCCGGCAGTATTGGCTCTCGTTGCAGTGGGGGGGTTTAGTTTGATGTCATTGTGTATCCTACCATGGAGGCGGGGCTTCATCGGCTGCAATTTAACATCTTTCCTCTGCTGCGTGCTCCCATATTTATCTTCGCTCGCATGTACAAGCATCAACTGGATGTGGTATTTTTCAATGTTTGAATCATCCTCCTCCATCATGGTGTCCCCCATGCTCATCTTCCCTCGTAGGTCAATATTCAAGTTAAATCCCCCCCATTTCTGTGAGCAAAAGTCTGTTGGTATTTGGGCAGATTCCCCGCTCATGTTACTTTCCCTTTTATCAAGCGAACGGGTCGTCATCACATGTTTTTTCTCCCCTCTCTGTATGGGATATCCACCTTTATTATTATTATGGGTAGTGCTAAATTTAGTGGTTCTATCCTCAAATTTCTTAAGCGCTCCAATGTCATTATTGTTGTTTTCTCCAACAATATGGGAGCACGCAGCAGAGGAAAGATGAAGCCCCGCCTTATGAATGTGAACAAAAGTGCTCGAGAGAACGACAGAAGAAATCTTTACTCCAATTCCCCCTCCCACCTATCAGCTGTTCAGCAGGGAATGCTAGCACAGTCTAGGAACCACGTGCAGACGTCTATGGAACCCGTTTGAATCACCTTGTTAAAAACGGTCTCTCAGCCCTGAAGATGTTGGGGAGTTTTCCCAACGAAAGCTTGGCAACCTTTTAATATAGTAAAATACTTTAATTGAAGTATTTTAACTTTAAACTCTCCTGGTGAACGCGCTTTATTCATTCCATTTATAATTATGCCCGGGAGTCGCATTTTCACCATCATTATTGAATATATATATATATATATATATTATATAAAATTAGTTTTCTAATTTTAAACAGTGCTTTAAACTTTGCAGATAAGCTTTTTTTTTGCTTAGAATATTGAATATGGTATTATAAAATAAAGAAAATACTATATTTTACCCATTATACAGAGCTATTATAGATTAAAGGTGGCCAACAGCAGCATCAACTGCACCTAGTAGGCAGTGCAACTCTCTTAATAGTAGCATTACATGTGTAAACCTTGGTGTGTCCATAATTGCATGCTGTATCAGATGGTATTCAAGCATAAGAGACTGAATAAGGCTTCCTAATCTAGAAAAGGACATAACTAGGCTATATTATGTAATTGTGCAAAGGTCCTCCTACCAAAACAAATTATAACTTAAAAGCTACAATTTGAATCAGAATACATAACATAAAGGGAACAGGCATAAATTGTAGAGAAGTTTGATACCATATTTATATATTTAAAATAACACTTTTATATCTAGAATGTTGAATAATAGCAACTGGGAAAATAAACAAAATTGAAATTGAAATAATCAATAACTTTTAAACTAGCACAGTTCATATTAATTAATGTAGTGATTTTACAAGACAGGTTTTTGTCTCTATATTGAGTACATATGCACACAAAAGTACACAGAATGCATGACCTACAAGATTCTTTACATACTTAATCAGTAAATACATTAGAGGTCAAGTGGACTGTCATGGCATATATTTGAGGACTTAATTGAAAAATGCAAGACCACATAATATTCTAATTTTCCCCTTATTTTATTTAAGACAGTGAAAAAGTACAGCGTCCTTAACTTACAACAGTTCATTTAGTGACCATTCAAACTGCAGTGATTCACTTAACAACTGTGACAAGAAAGGTCATAAATTGGGGCAAAATTCACTTAGCAGCAGAAATTTTGGGCTCAATTGTTGAGGGACTACCTGTAGTTTTAGTTGCCTAATCCCCAGCAAATGAATTACAAACCTCTACTTGCCTCATCTTTCAGAGAACAGTTCTTTTTGTTCCCAAAGGAAAAAGTTACTGTAAAGATACAGGAAACAAGATTTTTTCCTATTCTACAGATAGTCCTTGTCATACAACAGTTCATTTAGTGACTGTTCAAAGTTACAACGGCACTGGAAAACGTGACTTATGATCTTTTTTCACACTTACAACCATTGCAGTATACCCATGGTCACGTGATCAAAATGTGGATGCTTGGCAGCTGGTTCATATGATGGTTGCAGTGTACCAGGCTCATGTGATCACCTTTTGCAACCTTCTGACAAGCAAAGCCAAAGGGGAAGCCAAATTCACTTAACAACAAATGAACTTAACAACTGCAATGATTCACTTAACAACTGCATCAAGTAAAGTCACAAAATGGGGCAAAACTCACTTAACAAATGTCTCACTTAAGAACATAAATTTTGGGTTCAAATGTGGTTGTATGTTGAGGACTACCTGCAAAATGTTCAGCTCAAAGCTCTTCTAAACATGCGTATATTAGCATATTTATGTTCTTAGCATGTATGTACCACTTTTTGTTGCTAAATACTAGAACTATTCCTATTGAGAGCTAAAAAAGAAATTGCAGAATTATGGGCCATTTTCCTTCCTCTGTCACTCAGATGAACTGACAGTTGGCCTTCATTCAGCTATTGGTAGACAGATAAATCTTTCTTCTATCTTTTGATATATCTCCTCTGTGCAAACTATGTTGGTCAGTGATATCAATCATGCTTTTCCTTCTTGGGGAATCATCTCTTGATCGCAACCTCAAATGTTTCATGGAATTGTGAGTACTCATGAGTTAATGAATCTTCAGCAGTACAAATTTTGTCCCAATTCTAGGACCACTACCCCCTGTCCTCATTATCTATATTAAAACCAACACTCCATCTCCAGCAAGCATTAGGAATTGTCTGAATTTGTCTTAGTCATTTTAGCAGCCAGCCTTCATCTTCATTTCCAAAAATCATCTTCACAGTGTCCTTCTGGATATTGTAAGACCTTTATCAACACCACACCTGCTGCTCTTCCAACTCATAAGAGCACTAGCCTCCCAGTTCCTTCCCACTACATCCCACGGAGATTTCAGCACACAATACATCTCAAGGTCTTGGTCAGGAAGATTCTATTTGGACTAGAGAGTTCCAAAGATTCCAAACTCAACTGGTATAAGACCTTATAGGTTATAACTTGTAGACTATAGCTAGCCCTTTCAATTGCATCCAAACCAGCAACCAGTGTAGCTCCAGAAATATTGATATTATATGACAGTAATAAATTGTCACTGCTCATTTGCACAGTTTCTCCCATAACTTGTTTCTGTTTCTGTCATTAGTTTCATTCAATGGCGTATAAATAATAATTTGTCCCCATAGTCTTTGCCCTCTGGGAGGACTCCCAAAATTGACTCTGCTGGTTGGCTTCAGGCCTTAAAGGGGATATGTTACATTGAAGGTGGTTGGTGGAATAATAGAGAAGCAACAGCAATCCCACCTCTGTTATCACTGTGCA